TTATCCGTAAGCTTCTGAATTCCATGGTGTTGCTGAAACATTTAATTGGAAGCAGATATGTTGGAGGATCCTTTGATGTTGAGTCCCTCGTGGAGAATTTACTTGGTCAACTTGCTGGTAACCAAGCAATTTTGGTGAACGTATATGACATCACAAACTTTACTGATCCCTTAATCATGTATGGGAAGCAAGATGAAGAAGGTGACATGTCTCTTGTCCATGAAAGTAAGCTTGATTTTGGAGATCCATACAGGAAACATAAAATGATATGTAGGTAGGTGCCTCTGGCTGTTGTACCTTTTGTAAAATGTTTGGTCACAGATGCTTATCATCAAGTTTTTAAACAGGTATCACCAGAAGGCACCGACAAACTGGATAGCACTTACCACGGCATTCTTATTTTTTGTGATTCTTTTATTAGTGGGTTATATTTTGTATAGTGCTGGAAATCGTATTGTCAAAGTAGAGGATGATTTTCATAAAATGGCAGAATTAAAAGTCCGTGCAGAATCAGCTGATATTGCGAAGTCACAGGTTCTTTTCCTTGCTTAAGTTAGCACAGTTTATTAGTTCCTTTTATGGCTCCATGATCACTAAAACTGTTTTTTTCTATAATATCAGTTTCTAGCTACTGTCTCTCATGAAATCAGAACACCCATGAATGGCATTTTAGGTAACATCCGAATTTTCTCTGCCCTTTAAAAGTAACATTCTTTTTTTACCAACTTTCTCATTACTATTAGTGATGCTATCTTCAAACTCCATGTTACTGTAGGAATGCTCGGTCTGCTTCTAGGCACAGAATTGAGTTCCACTCAACTAGATTATGCTCAGACTGCTCAAGCATGTGGGATGGCTCTGATAGCATTGATAAATGAGGTGCTTGACCGTGCCAAAATTGAAGCTGGCAAGTTAGAGCTGGAAACAGTTCCATTTGACATTCGATCCATACTTGATGATGTGCTTTCTCTTTTCTCCGAGAAGTCTCGGCACAAAGGTTTAGAGGTATGTCTAGTTGCTAAATTGTTGTGAAGGTCATTTAACTTTGAGTTGCAGAATTTCATAATCTATTTTTGTATTTCTTGAACTAATGATCTCATTTCATTTTTATCTTTGTATTCGTATGTCTTTCGGTGGCAATTTGGCTACTGGGGTTCCTATTCACAATTCTTCTGGCTTGGACTTAATATGGTTTTGGGAACCATAGCTGGCAGTATTTGTTTCTGATAAAGTTCCAGATATTGTCATGGGAGATCCTGGAAGATTCAGACAAATAGTAACAAACCTTGTTGGCAATTCAGTTAAAGTAAGTGAATTTTTCAAAGTTAACTTCTCTAATGTTATGTGCATATTTGCATTACTAACATGTATGTGTGTTCGGAATGTGTTTCTAGTATAACTTTGTTCAATTTTTTAACTGTAGAGAGGATGTTTGAATCGTTATTGTAACAAGTAATTTATTAGCATGGTAATTCACGGTAACATTACTGATTATAATCTTGCAGTTCACTGAGCGAGGACATATATTGGTGAAAGTCCATCTAGCTGAAAATAGGATGTCCACAATGAATGGAAAAATGGAGACTTTTCTCAATGGACGATCAGATGAAGTTGTGCATGTGTCTAGCGGTGGTTATAATTTCAAAACTTTAAGCGGACATGAAGCAGCTGATGAACGGAACAGCTGGGACAATTTTAAGCATCTGATTGCCGACGAAGAATTTTTCTTTGATGATTCAGTTAAAAAGGTGGCAAGTGAATCCTATGAGCAAGTCACCTTGATGGTGAGTGTGGAGGACACTGGGAATGGAATTCCTTTCATAGCTCAAGATAAGATTTTCATGCCATTTGTACAGGCAGACAGCTCAACCTCAAGACATTATGGTGGTACTGGGATTGGCTTGAGTATAAGCAAGTGCCTGGTTGAACTGATGGGTGGTGAGATCAGTTTTATAAGCCGACCCCAGGTTGGGAGCACGTTTTCATTTACTGCAGATTTTGGAACAATCAAGAAAAATTCAATAACTGACATGAAGAAACATAACTTGGAAGATCTGCGTTCCAGTTTTAGAGGGTTTAAAGCCATTGTGGTTGATGGAAAACCTGTTAGAGCAGCTGTTACTAGATACCATCTGAAGAGACTAGGGATTCAGGCCAAAGTTGCAAATAGCATCAATAAGGCTGTTTCTTTATGTGGGAAAAATTGGTCTTTGACCTCAGGGTAAGATTTTAGTTTCTCTTATAGTTGTCAATTATGAATGAACTGAATGTGATCACAAACAGCAGTATCAACATTTTAGTAATTCTCATTAGCTTTATAGCATGTGCTTATGAATAGTGAGTTTTCAAATGTTGTTATGGATGTTTTTACAAGCTTAACGTGGATTTTAACATGTCAAACATTCTATTTCAAGTTTCACATGCACTTGGTCTGTATTGTTTTAAGCTCTAATTTCATAAAGAAAATAAGAAACTGTATGGACTGGTTTTCTTTAATTACTCAAAGATAGTGATGTGGTGTCAATAAATGTTCTAGCTAGATAGCAGTTTGGTTGAAGATATTGATGTTGTTCAGTTCATTCACCGCGTAAACTGGTTGTATATGGCAGAATATTTCAGCCTGATATGATTTTTGTTGAGAAAGACTCGTGGATTTGTGGAGAGGATGGGATCTTCAACGTGTGGCAGCTGGACTGGAAACAGAACGGGCACATGTTTAAGATACCTCAAATGATCCTTCTTGCAACCAACATTACTAATGCTGAATTTGATAAAGCTAAAGCAGCAGGTTTCAGTGATACTGTGATCATGAAGCCTCTGAGAGCCAGCATGGTGGCTGCATGTCTTCAACAAGTTCTGGGAACGGGGAAGAAGAGACAGCTAGGAAAGGACACTGGTTCATCTTTTGCACGAAGCCTTCTTTGTGGGAAAAAAATACTTGTGGTTGATGACAATAGGGTAAATAGAAGGGTCGCAGCAGGTGCATTACAAAATTTTGGAGCTCATGCAACGTGTGCAGAAAGTGGCAAAATTGCTCTTGAAATGCTTCAATTGCCTCACAATTTTGATGCTTGCTTCATGGATATTCAAATGCCAGAAATGGACGGGTACGTTTCTTATCATTTCCCTTACAGTTACATATAATGTATACTTAAGGGCCAAAAAATATAGTGCTTTTGCATCATCGGTTTTAATTTCGTAGCAGTGTTAAACAATTATAGTTAAGCAAGATACTTGACAACTGAACTACAGTTAGAACAAAAGTCTTTCTATGAAGACTCAAACACAGTTTCTTGGTATAGGGACTAAAGTAACAAATTTGGCAAGTGTAAAAAACCCTAATATTAAAAAAGAAAGTTGTTCTTGTAGAGACTGAAACATAAACTTCTATTTCGTAGGATCTTAAATCAAAAGGTTTGTGTTAAATACATGGACTGAATGAAGAATTAAATCTGCTTATAGTCATGCAGCATGTTGTATGGTACTATTTGATATTTTTTGTTGTATTATGAGCAGATAACCTAAAATGGATTGTGTACATTTTCTTTTATCAGACACTAACCAATTAAAAGTGTTAACATGATAGCTGCTGTATTAATATGAAATCTTTTTTTCGATTTATATGCATTCAACTTTTCTAGTTGAGGCATATTGACTAGTTGCGTGGAAGTATCATATCTTATAAACATGCTGAAGAGTATCATATCTTGATCCAGTATACCATCAAGCACGATCTATATTCTGGGTTGCGTTTAAGTTATTAAAAGATGCATAACACGAGCCAGGTTTTGATATGGTATGAGATTTAGGTACCAAACTCAACTCAATAATACTAGACGTGAGGAGATTTATTAAGAAAAATTCAAATCTTATAGTATATATAAGTGGGGTAATTCTCATAAGCCAAGCGTTGAGACTTAACTTTTTGTGTAGCATGTGATGAAACTTGTTATTGAATGTTCCATGACCAACTCTTGATATTGAGATGGATTTGTTGAAGCATCTAAATATGTATATCATCAAATTATTTGCAGGTTTCAAGCAACTGGGAAAATTCGGGAAATGGAGAGAAAGGCAAATGAGCTTCTGATGAATGGTGAATGTGGTGAAGGAAATGGCTGGAAAAAGGAGTACCATTTACCTATATTGGCCATGACAGCAGATGTAATTCAAGCAACGTACGAGAAGTGTGTGGAATGTGGAATGGATGGTTACGTTACAAAGCCTTTTGAGGATGAAAATCTGTATCAAGCAGTTGCAAAGTTTTTCAACCCCAAGCCTACCTCAGACAACTCATTACAGAATGGCAACAGAACTGGGAAAGCACCTTAATTGAATTGGACACACTCTCACTACTGGCATTTTTCATAGTTTGCTAGTGATCTGAATGTGCTTCAACATACAGAAGAAGAGCTTCAGTTGGTTTCAAGACATCTGAGATTATGCAGTATGCATGCAACATTACACACCCATATGCAGTGATCATTTNTTCCATTTGACATTCGATCCATACTTGATGATGTGCTTTCTCTTTTCTCCGAGAAGTCTCGGCACAAAGGTTTAGAGGTATGTCTAGTTGCTAAATTGTTGTGAAGGTCATTTAACTTTGAGTTGCAGAATTTCATAATCTATTTTTGTATTTCTTGAACTAATGATCTCATTTCATTTTTATCTTTGTATTCGTATGTCTTTCGGTGGCAATTTGGCTACTGGGGTTCCTATTCACAATTCTTCTGGCTTGGACTTAATATGGTTTTGGGAACCATAGCTGGCAGTATTTGTTTCTGATAAAGTTCCAGATATTGTCATGGGAGATCCTGGAAGATTCAGACAAATAGTAACAAACCTTGTTGGCAATTCAGTTAAAGTAAGTGAATTTTTCAAAGTTAACTTCTCTAATGTTATGTGCATATTTGCATTACTAACATGTATGTGTGTTCGGAATGTGTTTCTAGTATAACTTTGTTCAATTTTTTAACTGTAGAGAGGATGTTTGAATCGTTATTGTAACAAGTAATTTATTAGCATGGTAATTTACGGTAACATTACTGATTATAATCTTGCAGTTCACTGAGCGAGGACATATATTGGTGAAAGTCCATCTAGCTGAAAATAGGATGTCCACAATGAATGGAAAAATGGAGACTTTTCTCAATGGACGATCAGATGAAGTTGTGCATGTGTCTAGCGGTGGTTATAATTTCAAAACTTTAAGCGGACATGAAGCAGCTGATGAACGGAACAGCTGGGACAATTTTAAGCATCTGATTGCCGACGAAGAATTTTTCTTTGATGATTCAGTTAAAAAGGTGGCAAGTGAATCCTATGAGCAAGTCACCTTGATGGTGAGTGTGGAGGACACTGGGAATGGAATTCCTTTCATAGCTCAAGATAAGATTTTCATGCCATTTGTACAGGCAGACAGCTCAACCTCAAGACATTATGGTGGTACTGGGATTGGCTTGAGTATAAGCAAGTGCCTGGTTGAACTGATGGGTGGTGAGATCAGTTTTATAAGCCGACCCCAGGTTGGGAGCACGTTTTCATTTACTGCAGATTTTGGAACAATTAAGAAAAATTCAATAACTGACATGAAGAAACATAACTTGGAAGATCTGCGTTCCAGTTTTAGAGGGTTTAAAGCCATTGTGGTTGATGGAAAACCTGTTAGAGCAGCTGTTACTAGATACCATCTGAAGAGACTAGGGATTCAGGCCAAAGTTGCAAATAGCATCAATAAGGCTGTTTCTTTATGTGGGAAAAATTGGTCTTTGACCTCAGGGTAAGATTTTAGTTTCTCTTATAGTTGTCAATTATGAATGAACTGAATGTGATCACAAACAGCAGTATCAACATTTTAGTAATTCTCATTAGCTTTATAGCATGTGCTTATGAATAGTGAGTTTTCAAATGTTGTTATGGATGTTTTTACAAGCTTAACGTGGATTTTAACATGTCAAACATTCTATTTCAAGTTTCACATGCACTTGTTTTGTATTGTTTTAAGCTCTAATTTCATAAAGAAAATAAGAAACTGTATGGACTGGTTTTCTTTAATTACTCAAAGATAGTGATGTGGTGTCAATAAATGTTCTAGCTAGATAGCAGTTTGGTTGAAGATATTGATGTTGTTCAGTTCATTCACCGCGTAAACTGGTTGTATATGGCAGAATATTTCAGCCTGATATGATTTTTGTTGAGAAAGACTCGTGGATTTGTGGAGAGGATGGGATCTTCAACGTGTGGCAGCTGGACTGGAAACAGAACGGGCACATGTTTAAGATACCTCAAATGATCCTTCTTGCAACCAACATTACTAATGCTGAATTTGATAAAGCTAAAGCAGCAGGTTTCAGTGATACTGTGATCATGAAGCCTCTGAGAGCCAGCATGGTGGCTGCATGTCTTCAACAAGTTCTGGGAACGGGGAAGAAGAGACAGCTAGGAAAGGACACTGGTTCATCTTTTGCACGAAGCCTTCTTTGTGGGAAAAAAATACTTGTGGTTGATGACAATAGGGTAAATAGAAGGGTCGCAGCAGGTGCATTACAAAATTTTGGAGCTCATGCAACGTGTGCAGAAAGTGGCAAAATTGCTCTTGAAATGCTTCAATTGCCTCACAATTTTGATGCTTGCTTCATGGATATTCAAATGCCAGAAATGGACGGGTACGTTTCTTATCATTTCCCTTACAGTTGCATATAATGTATACTTAAGGGCCAAAAAATATAGTGCTTTTGCATCATCGGTTTTAATTTCGTAGCAGTGTTAAACAATTATAGTTAAGCAAGATACTTGACAACTGAACTACAGTTAGAACAAAAAGTGTTTCTATGAAGACTCAAACACAGTTTCTTGGTATAGGGACTAAAGTAACAAATTTGGCAAGTGTAAAAAACCCTAATATTAAAAAAGAAAGTTGTTCTATTAGAGACTGAAACATAAACTTCTATTTCGTAGGATCTTAAATCAAAAGGTTTGTGTTAAATACATGGACTGAATGAAGAATTAAATCTGCTTATAGTCATGCAGCATGTTGTATGGTACTATTTGATATTTTTTGTTGTATTATGAGCAGATAACCTAAACTGGATTGTGTACATTTTCTTTTATCAGACACTAACCAATTAAAAGTGTTAACATGATAGCTGCTGTATTAATATGAAATATTTTTTTCGATTTATATGCATTCAACTTTTCTAGTTGAGGCATATTGACTAGTTGCGTGGAAGTATCATATCTTATAAACATGCTGAAGAGTATCATATCTTGATCCAGTATACCATCAAGCACGATCTATATTCTGGGTTGCGTTTAAGTTATAAAAAGATGCATAACACGAGCCAGGTTTTGATATGGTATGAGATTTAGGTACCAAACTCAACTCAATAATACTAGACGTGAGGAGATTTATTAAGAAAAATTCAAATCTTATAGTATATATAAGTGGGGTAATTCTCATAAGCCAAGCGTTGAGACTTAACTTTTTGTGTAGCATGTGATGAAACTTGTTATTGAATGTTCCATGACCAACTCTTGATATTGAGATGGATTTGATGAAGCATCTAAATATGTATATCATCAAATTATTTGCAGGTTTCAAGCAACTGGGAAAATTCGGGAAATGGAGAGAAAGGCAAATGAGCTTCTGATGAATGGTGAATGTGGTGAAGGAAATGGCTGGAAAAAGGAGTACCATTTACCTATATTGGCCATGACAGCAGATGTAATTCAAGCAACGTACGAGAAGTGTGTGGAATGTGGAATGGATGGTTACGTTACAAAGCCTTTTGAGGAGGAAAATCTGTATCAAGCAGTTGCAAAGTTTTTCAACCCCAAGCCTACCTCAGACAACTCATTACAGAATGGCAACAGAACTGGGAAAGCACCTTAATAATTGGACACACTCTCACTACTGGCATTTTTCATAGTTTGCTAGTGATCTGAATGTGCTTCAACATACAGAAGAAGAGCTTCAGTTGGTTTCAAGACATCTGAGATTATGCAGTATGCATGCAACATTACACACCCATATGCAGTGATCATTTCTATCCACCAGCTGAACATGATTTCAACCCGAAAAGATGTATACCACTACTACCCCAACTAGTGTACAGATCTCCCAAGGGATGAGAAAAATCATGTAAATTCAATATTTTTCTTTGGCATCTCGATACTCCCTATCAGAAGGGTTTCACTATAGTCTCTATTTTTTAGTTTTGAAATCCTTTTTTTCTGTAAAATTGTCTTGTATAAGATTTGGTTAGTTACTACTATTATTGTTCAGAAGGAAAAAGTTGCCATATGCTTTTTCCTACACTTCCAATTCCTTCCAATGGCGTTTAAATAATTCACTTCATTCACACAATGGAATCATTCATCTCCTATATCAGACTAGTAACTTCGAGAAGCAAACTTGAGAGAGTTTATGTGAGGAAAGAGAAGGAAAAATGCACACGTTCAGCATGGTGATGGTGGTGGTAGCCACGTGGCAACCCCAGAAACAATGTGAAGCAACATTTGTCAACAGCTGGTAGCAAGCATAGTGAGGTGGCAACCTCTCTATATGACATGACATGCATATAGAAAGAATGAGTTAATGTCTGTATCAAGTGCATACATATATAAATTAGGTAGGTAGGTGTGAAAATGGTAGAACTTTGAAGAAATAAAAGAAATGAATATGGAACAGTATCAGAATCAGTACGGTGCTGCTCCTACCAGTAAGGATTCTGTCCAGCGGGAAATGGAGACCACCGGAGACACCACCGGAGTTGGGTTTGGTGGCGGCGGCGGTGGTGGCAGTACACAAGTCATAGCTGAAGATTATGTTACCAGCAACAGCAACAGCAGTGGTGAGAAGCAGCAGAAAGGAATCATAGAGAAAATAAAAGAGAAGCTTCCTGGGACTGGATCACATCAACGCAAGTAGCTCTCACAATCATCAACACTGTAAAATCATGTCATGTTATGTGACAAATGTTACGCATGTTGTCTTTCCTACATAATGCTAAATACGATTATGTCCTTCCTTCTCTCACCAAATTAATAAAACTACTTCTGTTTTATGTTCTGTTCTGTTCTGGTTCATTAATCTTTATGGTAACCTGATTAAGTAATGTAACAGTTATATTAATCACTTAATAATTACATTACACAGTTAAATGAATGTTTAGTAGATCATAAAAATTTTGTTGAGATTATTGAGTACAGACTATAAGATTAAAGCTTTTTATCTTTATTTATTAGGTACCTAAACTTTAGTTCAACCTATTATTTACTATAACTTTGTGAAAAGAAGGTTTTTAAAATTAAAATTAATAAAATGTTGAGTTTAAAAAAAAGGATTACACAATTCTCACACAGTATATTTTGAGTTTAGAAGATGAGAAATTGAAATGCATACACAACATTTCTTTTGGAAAATGATGACATTGTATATAAGACTCTAAATTTTTTAAAACAAGAAAAAAGAGTTTTTCTATATTCTCAATATTGTATTATCATAAGTATTTTCAATTCATTGATTTCATTTAGAAAAGAATGGGAGTAAATTTTCCATAAATATAATGTTTGCGATTACAGTTAACTAAATTTAAACACCAATGATAATAATTAAGAGCTAAAATCATTTTAATATTATGTTAAACTGTTTTATCATTTGCTATTTTAAACGCAGTAAAAAAAGAACTTTTTTGTTTTTTTTTCTTTAGAAACCAGAAGCACTCGTAGAAGGCATAGGAGTAATTCTGGTTATTACAACAACTCAGTCATAATAGTAAAACGTCAAGTGGGCCACCGGAAACAGTAAGAAAATACTGTAAACATCTAAAGTTTAAATGTTATATAAAACAGATAAATAATTTTAGTATAAATACTGTAAACATATTTAAATTACTATTTATTAAAATTATATTATTTTCTATCATTTATTTTTTATTTAAGAAAAAATACGTCTGCATAAACATCTACTTATTTTAGCTTAACAGTAAAAAAATTGAAACAATTCAACTTTCAAAATAGATTATTTTATATTCTTGAAATATCTCAACTAAAATTTATTGAGTTAACATGAATGGTATACTTTTTATAGTCTTAATTTATTTGAAATATCATTATTTTTATCTTAAAAAGTTTATACATTTTTGTTCTTTATGAATATAGTAACTTTTTATTTACTTATGTTTGAACTTTATGTGTTTATATTTTATTTTATTAAGAAGTAAGTGCTCTAAATATTTCATGATCAATTACGTGTTAGTGTTACAATGAATAAAGAATGCGACACTTTCTATGAATATTCTACGAACCCTTTAATGTGTGTGAACTTTTTGAGATTTAGATTCTTGTGGCCATTCTGGAAACTTCATTTTTCAAATTTCTTAATAAAACATTACATAATGCGTATTTTTTTAAATGGTTACAGAAATCTTCTTAATTATAAAATTTATTATAGAATGTTCTTAGTTTGATCAATCTTATTATAGAAAGTTCTAAAAGGCTTTTAATAAATTCTAAGTTGCATTTAAAGGGTCATTCATATTAGTCGATTCACTGAAAACTTAAAGAAAACTTCAAAAAAGTAGGACTTCATTGATAGATTTATTGGTCGTTTTATAATTCTAATTAATTATAATTCCTTCTCTAATCTCATAACTATGGAGTACAATTAAGAAGCGATAAGAAAACTTAAATCAATTTTCAGAAATTCGTAATCTCGTGTTCTTGATAGTAAATATTAAAGTTTAAGAGAAAAAAACAGTGCCACTACTCTAGAAATTGAAGTTCGTCGAAAACAAATCGGAGACGATAAAAAACAAATTAACACATCAGGTTGGCCGCACGCTGCTTCTGCGCCGAACTGGTTCAGATATTAACTACATATTGGAGCAAATACCACAGTATAGTGCATTAAGGAAAAATGAAATTTATAGCCCCAGAAATCGACTTAAAATAGGCAACAGTGCAGTTGAGCTGAACCATTCAGGTACCTACTCTTCTCGGACGAACCAATTTATCACAAGCACCATGATGAATATTTGAACTTTGCGGAATCAGGACCAAACTCATGAGCTGTATTCAAATGGTTGAGGAGGTTGAGGTTCCTCATCCACAGCCATGGCTGATGAAGAACTCTGCAATCCAGTTGCTGACCCACCAGCAGCTGAAGTGGTGGTTGATGAGGGCGTATCAGTGAGAGCAAGAACTTCTGGCTCAGTAGGACGCAAGTCTTTGAGAAGCACAAATCCTGAAGGTGCCAACTTAACTGGAACATATCTGCTGTCCTGCAAAAATTTAATAACCTTCTCCTGCGCAGGAACCACCCTTGCAGGATTAGTCAGAATCTCAAAAGATGACTCGGGTTCTGATTTCTTCTCCGTCGTTGGGCTATCAACCTACAGAAAAGTGAAATTTTAAAAGGTCATCAAGCAAACATATACACATGTGATATGATAGGTCATGGATCTAACATTTTCAAATCAACATTTTAACAACAATTTCTTGTATTCGTAAAATATATATTTTAAGTCATATTTGTAGGACTTGTAAGGTCATTTTATATTATAAATTAGTAATATGTCTAATTGATGTGAGATGTCCAACAAGTACAGTATCACCATTGCAATGAAGAAAATTTTATGCTAAACTCTGCCTACACACGAAAAAAAAAGACTCCAGCCATGAGCTTTCAGGGTCCATTGGATCTCCAGGACCAATCACAGTTCGATCATTTCTTAATAGCAATTTAGCCACATTCGCCGTCCTTACATACCAAGCTTTAGACCTACTTCATAACCACCAAATAAACAAAATCAGTTTCAGAACTGCAATCCACAATCCCTATTCCCTTTACTCAAGCTTTCAGGGACCATTGGATCTCCCGGACTAATCATTTCCTAATAGCAATTTAGCTACATTCCCCATCTTTACATACCAAGTTCTAGACCTACTTCATAACCACCAAATAAAGAAAAGCAGTTTCAGAACTGTAATCCACAATCCCTATTCCCTTTGCTCAAAAGCTATGAAACATGGACAATGACCCGGACAC